TTGGTTTTCTCATGTTTTGACTTGGGAACTTCAACAGACATCAGGTTCTCTCTTCCAGCTGATCCAGAAAACTTCTCATTTCAGGTTGATGCATCATACTATTGTCATAATCGACTGTTATCAATCCTTGGAACCCTAGTTTTGTGTTGCCCTAGGGTATTTCTTCTCTTGGTTATCAGTCCTTGGAACCCTAGTTTGTGCTGCCTTAATTCTATGGTGTTAATTGGAGGATTTTTTATTCTTCTATAAAGGTTCTTGCTGAAGTTTCCTTGGATTTGTCTGCATTTCATGCTATAGCCCTCATTTTACTTTTTTTGAGGAATACTGTGTTCGGCTCAAGTAATTTTCTGCCTTGTTCATTGCTGATTTGAGTGCATTACCAACATCAATGTTGCTATTCTGGGTTTTTTTTTTAACTCATTCATGATGGCTGAAAAGGTTGACTTTCTCCCTATAAAATTTGATGGAACTAACTACAATATGTGGAAGTTCCTTTTAGATTTCTATGTTGAGGGAAAGGATCTTGAAGGATACTTGATTGGGACTATATGTAAAACTGATGGGGCTGAGACTGATAGTAAAGCCTATACACAATGGAAGCTAGACAATGGAAAGTTAGTCTCCTGGATTTTGAGCTCCATTGTGCCTCACATTAGTGTTCCCATGAGAAGACTGAAGACTGCCTATGAGATGTATGCCTATTTGAAAAAGGTATATCATCAGTCCAATATGTCACGGCAATACTAGATTGAATCTAAAATTTTTGCCTATTGTCAGGGGGACAAAAAGATACAAGAATACTATTTAGGCTTTATTGATCTCTGGGCTAAATGTGAACTTGTTCATATTGAACCTTCTGATCCCGTTGAATGTGTCAAGTATTTGCAGAAACATTTTGAAAATAGGAAAGTTAACCGGTTTCTCATGAGGTTGAGACCTAAGTATGGAATAATTAGGTCATATATTTTGAGTAGAAGAACTCTTCTAGACTTAGACTATGTGATGAGAGAGTTGTTGAGGGAAGAAATCAGACTCCTAACTGCTACAAACATAGAAGGGAAACATCCTGATTCAGGGATTGATACTGTTTTTCTTGCACGAGGGAATAAAAAATCTAATGGAAAAGACCCTTCTAAAATTCAATGCTATGAATGTGAAGGATATGGACATATAGCCTCTCATTGCGAAAAAAAAAAGAATGTCTACACATATTGCAAACAACATGGACATATCATTCCAGATTGCCCAATTCATCCACTTAAGGGACCCACGAAGAAGAATCAGCCATGAGCTTCTCAGGCATCTGAAGGATGAATGTCCGATACCCCTATTGCCAAGGGAGAATCCTCTACTTCCATGAATAAGGAAGAGATACAACAACTGGTATCCTCTGCCATCTCATCTACCTTTTCTGCTATCGGCCTATCTGGTGAGTTCTCTGGTTATTGCTCTTCTCCCTCTCACATTTGGATAATTGATTCCAGTGCTACAAATCATATGATTGGGGCCTATCCTAAACCTTCAAACAACTATCTAAGACCAACCATGGACATATTGTCACCGCTAATGGTGAGAAACTTGACATTATTGGGAGTTGTTTGTCCTATAGCTACAGTAGTTCGAACTAGGAGAAGAGCAGAAGAAGAAGAAGAAGAAGAGAACAATCGAACATGATAGCCTCAACCCTATCAGTTGACCCTAATATGAATTAGCCTCTAATTAGTAGTACAAAGACTAAACTACCCCCACTTAAGTATGGGACAGGAAGTCTCTATTAAAACTGCCACATAAGCACATAACAGAAATAAAATGACTAATCTACCCTTATTCAGCTCTCTCTAACACTCCCCCTCAAGCTAGAGAATATATGTCGTATAATCCCAGCTTGTTACATATATAGTTCACTGTCCCTGAGCTTAAGCCTTTTGTAAACAAATCTTCCCATTGATCACCTGAGCCCACATGTTCTGTGCTTATCTCTTCAGTAAGGACCGTCTCCCTCACAATAAATAAATCCATGTCATCCTTGAACAATCATCAATAAAAGTGACAAAATACTTGTAACCATTGTAAGACTCTATTTTAATCGGACCCCATTATAAGACTCTATTTTAATCAGAACCAGTATCTTGAGTGCCTTGAGAGATGGATGTTCCAGTTGACAATGCCACTGTAGAGTGAGTGAAGTCTGAAGTGCAACTGACGATCCACCACCGTCAAGGTAATACAATCCACCAGCATCATGCCCCCCACCAATCTTCTTCCCCGTCTTGAGATCCTGAAAAACACAAAAGGAAGGGAAAAATGTAATAGAGCAATTAAGAGTCTTGGTTAATTTACTAACAGACATAAGATTGAATGGAAACTTAGRGACATAGAACAGATGATAAAGAAAGAGAAGTCGTGTCAACATTACAAACACCACAGATGGGAGAAGAGGAACCGTTGGCAAGGGTAACAGTTTGAGATGTGGAAGTTTCAGAGAGGGAAGAAAACACACTTGGAGTCCCGTCATGTGATCAGAGGCTCTAGAGTTAATAATCCAGGGAGAGGGTTTGGATGCCAGACAATCTATACCTGAGTAGGCAAGGGTGGTTGTAGTATGCTGTGAAGTAGCATGGAGGAATTTCTCATACTTATCACGACACTCACCATCACCTTCCCGGAAACAAATGTAGATGTGGAAGGTGTTAGATCTGCCTGTTGGTTATCATTGACATCAACCCCACCAGCTACTGCATGATTGGGCCATGTAGAAGGAGGGCCATGGAGATCATAACAGAAACGGAATGTCCGTCCCTGCCACAATGGGTACACTTCCTTGTAGAGTTACTTTTTCCTTTACCACGGCCTCCCCTTGAGTCACGACCACCACCATGGCCAAATATGGAACCACCACGACCTCCTCGGGAGGCATGCCCTCCCCCTCTAGTACCACGTCCACCTGCTCTGGCTATCACAAATGCTGATCTGTCAGACTGTGTGGGATTCTCTGTAGGTCCCAAAGAAATCCTACG